TAGGATGTATGGACATGGAACCTACACCAGCAACATCAACCTAGGATATATGGCACAAACAGCAGCATCAGAGAGAAAACGCAAGCCTCTGGCTACAGCAGCATTGATTCCCCACACACTCGTTACTGAGTCAACCACATTTATGTCTTAATATAACATAAATTACATATAAAGTTCAATTTTACCGATTGTATTACATGCCTTATACCAGAAACACATTAATATCTACCAAGGCAATAAGCACTTAAAAAACCAATCTATAAATTCTATGTGTTTCACAGCATACCAGGGATTATTTCAAGAGCTCATTTTCAGAATTAATCAATTGACGAGTAAGACTGATGATTATAACATTATAGAGCTTGTGATATTCCTCTGTATATTTGGCCAGCTGACAGCACTAAGCATATTCACCTACCTATAGAGGACTCTTCCTCCAATGGTGACAAGGTTGGAGAAAACACTGAAATCTGTCATATTTGGGGGCCAAGATTGTATGTTCAGGAAACCTACAGGGAATAAGAAAGTGATATAATTCATGATATTATTGTTCAATGTCAGTGTTAATTATTGTTCAAACATAACAAAAATACATTGAAAGGTAGGGAGTAAGCAAAAGAAAATGAAAACTACTTTTGAAGTATCCACCACTTATTTATCCTTTTATAATTAAGTATAATACTACAAATTTCTAGAGTAAACAGTAGATTAATAATTGTTATTAATGTATGACACCAAGAATCCACGTTTTTAAAACTCAGGGACTCATAAACCTGGACATTTTGAATATTAAAATAGTATAACTTACTTTATTTTGGTAGATACATATACAAAAATTGTTAACAAGTTAAGGACAAAAATAAAGTTCTATTTCTGTTAATTCCTTCACCACTTATCTATATATTATGACACCTGTATCTACATAGAAATATAAGATATACTATTAATCTTTAACTCATCAGGTCTTGTTTTCTGTGATATTAAATGCAATGTTGATTCAGATTTATGAGCCCATTATAACTAGTATAAGAAATTTAAAAATAGTAAACACTCAAAAATATTATATTAAGGGAGTGCTGTTCATTATTCACACTAAACTGTATTTTTTTATGTGGGAGTCAACCGCAAATCAAGTGCTAAAGCACCATTGGTCTTTTGGTATTTGAAATCACAATAATAAGGGTATATCAAAGTTTATGCTTGAGTTATATTGGCTTCAGAATATAAAAGCTAAGAGATCATGTGAGTTTTAAAGACTAGAACTTCTCTTAGAAATGTATTGCTATTGTAAATATGTAAATAGTTCAAGAAAGTACCAGGTCACATAGCTTATATTCAGCAGTCTATCTTTCTATCTATCTGTCTATCTATCTGTCTATCTATCTATCTATCTATCTATCTATCTATCTACTATTAAAAGTACCTGTTATTTCTCTGACTGTCCGAAAGACATTCAGTTTCTCTGGGTCTATGGCGTCAATAGCATTGTAAGGATCCCTACAAAATCAAGAAGAGATGCAACCAAATTTACTTATTTTATAACACAGAAAATATTTACTTCCATCTAAAAATATCTATTATTTAAGATACAGCAAAGTTTTTAATAAAAAATGTATAAACTTCAGTACTTTTAAAGTACTGCTTTCTTATGAAAATTATTTAAAATTCACATCATATTTTTAAAACTATCATTAAAAAACTAATAGACTGTTTTCTGTTTTCATCTTACAAATTATTTTAGGATAATAATGGCCATATAAAATAATTGCATACTTGAATATTAAGCCCAACATTATACCAAACTCTCTCAGTAATTAAAATAACACTTTCAGTAATTCGAGGAACATGCCTCATTTGTTAAATGCCTTATTACTTTAAAAGGATCCATAATATGTGTTGAGACTTCATATCTTCATGGAAATGATAAATTTTATGCAGATGCACCTTTCTATGGGTTACTGAACTTTCTACGAGCAATGAACTTAGAATTTTCTAGAATTATACAGCAATTGAAAGATTTTTATTCTCCCTATGACCACTTATCCTTTGTATCGTCTGTGGAAACTTTCTATTTTTTGTGTGTGGAAAAATGTCCAGAGTACAGTAATTTTTTGAATGCAATATTAATTGGATTGTCAACCTAGGTACTTTATAATACCCCAACAAACCAATAAGTATATGGCATAGCTGCTGTAAGTCCACTTTCACTGAAAGTAATCTTCGAAAGACCATTATTTTCAGCAACTATGAATTCCAGGTTGATCTCTCGAACCACCTGACACTGGTTTTCTAAACTCATTTCATCAGCATATTACCCCACACTATGGGCCATCTCATCACTTTAAAAAAGGCTTTGCTTGATTAAATTACATTTCAAACTAAGAAATGCAATCATTGCAATGTACTACTAGTTTAAAGTGCATTGCTATAGAAAGCTCTGATGCTGTGTATTGCTGAGACTGAAAAACTACAAGCACACTTTTCTATGACTCAAAATAAACTATTGATCCAGATTATTCTCAGTGTCACATGAATGAATATCTCTTAAAAGCCAAAAGCTTAAATGTAAAGTTCTCAAAAAGTTGAATTCTTACTATGACACTCAATCTCTCATAAATACATGCATAAGTGTATATATGCCCATATATGTATGTATTTGTATGTTATATAATATATGACCATTATTCCAAGGCACACATATGCAAAATAAAGTATAACACATGGTAAACTTTTTGTATTCATCTTTTAAAAATATTTATTTATTCTTTGAAAATTTTATACATGTATACAGTGTATCTTGATTGTATTCACTCCTAAACCTTATTCCAATTTCATCCTCAGCCCATCTAATGCATCCTCCTACCAACTTCATGCCTTCTTTTGATTTGGAATATTTGAATATACTGACTCCAGTTAACGTGCCCATATGCACATGGTTGTGGGATCATATACTGGAATATGTGACAGGATACCAGTGACCATCCATCCAAAGAAAGTAACACTCTCTCCTCCAGCAGCCCCTGACTTACTCCATATTCTCAGCTAAGCAACCTGTCAGATCTCCATGATAGATGTTTCAACTAGCTTGATTTTGTGCAGGTCTTAAGCAGGTGGCCACAGGTATTATAAGTTCATGTGTGTACACATGACATGCCATATCCAGAAAACATTTCATAGCACTCCTCATTAGCTGTCTGTTACTGAATTCTATATCCATCTTTTAATGTAAAAATACTCTTTATACCTGAGGAAATAGAAGCTCTTAATTTTGGGAAATAACTTTTAACATTGTTCTCCCATGGAAAATAACATTCTGACTACCAAATTGAAAATCCTGGCTTCACTGTGAAAGACTCAAAATTCAGGGTAAGCATAAATAATGGAGTTAGCACAACTCATGACTGAAAACTTCTCGTTTGCTAGGAATTAAACAAATTCTCGGACATTAACGTGACACCAAATAAACCACAGAAATTTTGTATACTTAATTTTAGAGACTCAAGACTCACATAAAAATAAGTTGACAAAATTCTCCTTTTCAACTTCGAAGTACCTCTAGGGATTGTCATCCTAAAGCCACCAGAGATCCACAGTACCTTGAAATTGCTTTCCTTCCTAAACACAGAGCCATGTAGAAGAAGATTCTCGCCCTGTCATTCTGTTTGGTGATTCACAATAACTTTCAGCATAGAAAGAACAAACTCATAATTCCCCCGAAAGATACTTATTTTTGTCATGAAACCTAAGTGTGACTTCCAATATCTGCCATTATTATGGCACATCATGAAAACTTCTTCCTTTCAGTCTCTTTGTGCCACACAGAGCCAACATGCTTGAGAGCAGCTTTTTACTGTGAGAACCTGTACATGAACAATGCTAAGACAACGGATGAGAGAAATATTGCTTTGGTAACTCTAGACCTTTTGCAAGACTGTAATTCTCATTCTAAATAAGGATTTGAGTTAGATTTCCATTTATGCAAAGACACTATAAAGCCAGGGTGTGAACATGCCAATTACCTTTATTTACATTTTTTCAAATACAAAAGTTTAATTGAAAAATATTTCAAGACTATATTTTCTGAAAGAAATGACTGTCTGAATAAAATATCATTTAATTATATCTTTTAACCTCATTATTAAATAACTATGTCAATGAATAATACTAATACTATTCTATTAAAAGGCACTAGTAATATATTGAGAGTAATGACAATTAAAGGACATAAAGCATTGTATTTATTAGATGTTTACTGTTTATAATATAGCAGTCACATTAAAATATAATCTGTCCTCTCTTTCTCTCTCCCCCCACACACATACACACAGACTGAATAAACTACTACCTTGGTGTGTGTGTGTATTGTCTTATACCTATTGATTTGACTTCACTGTTATAATGTGTGTGTGTGATGTCTTATATCTATTGATTTGACTTCATTGTCATAGTGTGTGTGTGTGTGTGTGTGTGTGTATGATGTCTTATATCTATTGATTTGACTTCATTTTCATAGTTTCATTAAATGAATGGGAAGGATTTCCAAATATATGGCTCATCCTAGAATGAGACTGAGAATGGAGATTATAGCATATTTCACATATATTTGTCTTGCAAGCCATCACATGTAGTTTCCTTGAGACAAAATAGTATTAAATTTTGATATCAAGTATTCCAAGTTTCAGCCTTATAAGAACAGATAATCACCTGAACTAAAAAGCATGAGGTATCTGAAATAAAATTTTGCCTTTATTTCTTTTCGAGTCTCTAAAATACTAGAGTTAAGCCTCAAAGTATTGAACCCTTTCCTGAGCTATAAACTAGACATAGTCACTGAGGTTCTCCTGTTGCCGTCTTCTCACCAGTTTTAGTGCTTGTCAGTTACCTTTGTTCTATTTGCCCCTCCACTTTCCCTACCATGTGTATCATTCATTAAGGTTTTACTGGTATGGGGCTGGACAAATCAAAATACTTTTTGATTTATTCTCCAAAACAATCTGAAAAGCTATTTATTAGCAATCTGTTTCCCAGGTTTTCACTGGAGGAAAGCAAATGATTGTCACGAAAGAGACTCCACGGAGCTCCTCTATCATGTTGCTATGATTCAAACTCTATGCTGCTCTGAATCAGGTCACCTACATAAGATGTCTCATTTGTGTTTTGTGGGGTTCATTGTTAAGACACACTTTTACCTTCAGACTTCTAGTCCACATTGGTTTTTCTATGCAGTTTTTTTCTCACTTGAATGAATTAGTGATATTATAGTCCTTACAGAGTGAGGAATTTTAAGCTTCATAAATTGTGTATGATCCCTGTTGTTTATTAAAATTGTTTCTATTGGTTTTACATTTATATGTTGACTATTACCTCACTATAAAACAGAGATGGATTTATAAAATCTTCGTAAATGCCATAACTCCATAATAATTTTCTATAATGAAACAAGACTTAAGATAATATTTTAAGAATCACTAAATTATCAGTTTTTCAAATTTCCTCTCACAGACATCATTTGGAAGAATTTTGACCATAGGAAGGTCACTGGTCATAATTTTTCTACTATAATAATTTTTTTTTACAGAAATTATCTATGGAGGTAGTATCACTTCATTAAATTGAAATTGGGGCACTTACAGGAATGTTTTAATTTTAACAGTAACTAGGCCTTTAATAATAACCCATGGGTAATGCTTTTAAAATCATCGTACAGTGAAGGATTTCCCTTTGTCCCCTACAATCTTAGGAAAGCACTACCAGAGACAAGTTCAGATGTGCTAACTTTACAGTGAGTCTTTATTAGTAATTCTCTAGCGATTTTGTCCCAATTTCAAAGAATCTTCATTACCTCTGCAGTGTGTGTGTGTGTGTGTGTGTGTGTGTGTGTGTGTGTGTTATCCACTGAGTTATTTTCTATATCAGTCTCCAGGTATTCATATGACCTTTACTATCTGACATTTCTTATACAGAATGATTCCTAGTGTTATCTCTTGTAAATCTCAATTTTGATTCTTTGTAGAAGTTGAGAATTTTTCTATTGCTATCTTCTTTTTCATACTTGATAATTTTCTTATATTTGTTTTAATAATAACTAGAAATTGCAATGATTTAAATGTCATGTATTTAACAGAGAATATTATCCCTAGATTTTATTTAGAACTTTAAAAATATCAAATGCTTGATAAACACACACACACATACACACACACACACACACAGACACAAACACGCACATGAATATAAGGTGTTAGACCAGACAATGCCGAAAACCACTTCTATAAATCAATTCACTTTATGAGTATATATCTTCAAATTGTTCCCAAACATTGTAGACTTGAAGCTACTACACTTATCATATCTGTTGTGTTTAATATTCTCATTACATTAGAAGATGTAGTGTCACCTACGAGATCTCTGAGTATAGCTGCGACAGATTATCTAGGATAGGTTAGCCTCTCAGTATGCTTGTGAGGAATAATCTAGATCCAGGCAGCTTATGTAGGAGGACCAACTTGAAAAGTGACTGGCAATGTTTTAGAGGCTGGAGTTGTGGGCTGAATAAAAGGGAGAGTGAGCCATATATGTGTATGTATTTGTATGTGTATGTGTATATGTGTATGTTTCTGTATTGTAACCTGCTGGCTTACAGTCTTGGGGCCTTGAACTTTTTGCAATGTTAGATGTAACTTAAAACTGTAACCTCTTCCTTCCTTTCTGTTTTTTTTTATTGGCTATTTTGTTTATTAATATTTCAGATGTTATTCCCTTTCCCCATTTCCCACCCAAACCTCGCTATCCCATCCTAACTCCTCCTGCTTCTATGAGGGTGTGCTCCCACCAACCCACCCACCCACCCTCACCTCCAGGCACTGGAATTCCCCCACACTGGGGTATTCAGCCTCAGGGGACCAAGGACCTCCTCTCCCACCTATGCTGGGACAAAGCCATCCTCTACTACATATACAGCTGGAGCCAGGGTCCCTCCCTGTGTGTTTCTGGGCTGGTGGTTTAGGTCCTGGGAGCTCTGGTTGATTGGCATTATTGCTTTCCCCATGGGGCCACAAAATCCTTCAGCTCCTTCAGTCCTTTCTTAAACTGCTTCTGTGAGAGTATCTTACAGCAGTAATTGGAAAAATAACTAAAACAGCCTCCACATAGAAGCAAGCAATGGGCATCAAGTGGTTCCATCTAATTTCTTGCATTAGTAACAGATGATCTTTTTGTCATAGTAATACTTGATTTTAAAAGATAATTGACATACGTATATATCCCTTTCCAGATGTCATGTACTCATTCAATTATTTAACAACAAAAATAGTAAATATTGGCCCAAATCTCCTACCAAAAGTCTAAAGATGCTAGGTCAAAAATACAGATGATTTCAGATGAGCTATATGGACTTTAGTAAAGTTAACTGCATTGATACCATATCAAATTGGTGAGGATCAATCAACACATCATTGTCATATATGATGTAGGATGAGAATTTCCAACTTTTTAAATGGAAGTTAGTAATCTTAGTTTTTAAAAAAGTATTGGTTTGTCTAAACATAACACAATAGACAGAAGATACATGATTGCTTTTATAGGTTATGACATGGGACCGTATTAAAAACTGCCTTTTTAATAGAGATATTTTATGCAAGAGCATAAATAACAATTTGTTTGAATGAAGATAAATACTCTGTTCCATTGTTCATGCTGTTCTTATTTGGAGATATTTATTCATAAAGTGTTCAGTTATTTTGCTTCCAGAAATGATGTGATATATGTTCAGTGTACGAGATGAATTAAAAGATGTGAGAGATAGTCTTTATTTGTAGCCTGTAGCACTAATATTTAGAGATTAAGTAGTAATATAGACAAATAGATAAAATACAAAGTATAGCTATTGACATTTTTATTACACAAAGAATACAAATTCAGTTATTTCCCCAGTTAAAGCCAGCAGGCGGTTCTGTAATGAAGGATCCCAGATAATGTAACAATTTTTATTACCAAAATAAAATCCACTTTATAGTAGCGCTAATTTTCCCACATAAGAGAAAAATAGAGAGAGTACATCAGAAAAGGGAGGTTTTAGGAGCCAATCAGAAGAATTTCAACTTAATTTTAAGTCAGATTCTTTAAGTTGTTCCATGTTAAGGTTGTATTTGTTTGCTTGCTTGCTTGCTTGTTCATTTGTTTTTAATATATGTTGTTTTGAACTAATTCTTTGCAAACTCAAGAGTAATTCCTCACTTTATGTTCCCTTTTAAGCTGCTAAGACCTGGGATTCCTAAGACTATAGAGTTTAGGAGATTTCCCTGAAAATACATTCAAGCTGAATTAGAGCTTTCTATTCTCATTCCTAAATAATAATCAAAATCCAAATGCAGATGTTTCACCAGCACTGCTGGAGGGCTGTCCACAGCTTTGACTGGAAAGAGTTTAAAAAAGTAACACTGTTCTAGGTCCAGATGAATCAACAATACAAGCATGCAGAATACTTTCACTTCACAGAACAATATTGTACAACATTGAATACTGACCCATGAATCCCAGTGACAAGAAAGATGAGATTCCCATTGATCTTTGTGCAGTTTATGAATTTGTCAATGTTACTGGAGTCCACAGTCTGAGCGGACATCAATGATCCCGTGCCGATTCCATCACATGCTACAGAAGTAAGATTCAGAGTAAACAGCTGCAAAACATATTCTTGGCTAGTAAATCACTGCATTTTTCATTATAAAATAAAACATTTATTTCAGAATTTAAAATTACTTATTGTTTTTCTAAAAAACAAAGTTATTTATTGTTTTCTTTTGGTTTTCAAGACAGATTTACTCTGTGAAACCCTGGCTGTCCTAAAACTTGCTTTGTAGACCAAGATGGCCTTGAACTCAGAGCTCTGCTAAGATTAAAACAAGTTCTGGGATTTTTCCCATTTCCCCTTTTCTAGACTGGTATTTTGTCGGGCTTGATTTTGTGCAATTCTTGTAAATGGCCTCAGAACTCTCATGCATTCATATGTTCCTCAGCCCATGAAGTTGGGTGGGTAAGGAGGAAGAGACGATCTGGGAAGGTGTGGGGGAGGGGAAAGAATAAAATCAAAATGTATGTATGGCCATGCATGGTGGAATGCACCTTTAATTCCAGCACTTGAGAGGCAGATTCCATTCGTTCTTGAAGATATTTTTCCTTGTTAGTTCATTATTACATATATTTCATTTTCATACTTTAAGCCTTCTTCTGTTTTAACACACACACACACACACACACACACACACACACACACACACACACACATAAATGAACACTATATAACTGAGAAGCTAATCCCACTGGTCTATTAATAGGTACATGGAACCAGCAGCACTAATTTTAATATCAGCACTCTGGAGGCAAACGCTGGCAGATCTCTGGACAGCTTGATCTATAGATCCAGTTCCAGGATAGTCAGAGCTCCAGGACAGCTACACAGAAACTCAGTTTCGAAACACTAAAACCTAAACTACCACCACCAACAAAATGGTTCAGAAAAGCTTTTGGTAAAGACCTGTTGATCCCAATGACCTGAAGAATCACTTACCTTTGGGGCAAATATCAGTGCAAGGCTTACACATTTTAATCCCATTTTCTTCTACTTCCATCTTGGAACTAGGGCAGGCTCGTACACAAGAACTGGAATCTACCACAAAGTTATCTGATATTGAAAAAGAGTACAAATAAGCAATAATGTTTAACCATCAAGTTAAAAAGGAGTTAGATTATGGCTTAACAATTGTTAGCATCATTGATAATGTATATGATTCTTCCCCTCAACCAAATCCATATCTAAATATTGGAACCTGAAACAACATCTTCAATGCACATACTCAACTCCAAGTGCAATGTCTGAGAAGTATGAGTACCTGAAAGCCTACTGCTCCATATTCTGACTATGACTGTGGATGCTTTCAAAGGTTGGTGGTGTATGTTGGAAGTAGATTATTATAGAAGGATTTGAAAGATTACACCCACCTTGGTTTTTACCAATCTCAATGAAAGAGTCTTTCCCACAAGCTCCTCTACCATGAGTTGAATCTCTTCCTTTTGTGGGGACTAAAATCTCTGGCACCAAGAGAGAAATTTTACCCTTCTACTTCTTAGGTTGTTTCTGTCAGATATTCTAATCATGACAATACAAAGTAACGAATACAAGGAAGAATACAATCCTGTCTGTATAAAATATGTTGGATTTCAAGTTATCTGCCATCAAACACCTACTTAGAAATTGTAAAATGCACTGAAGCCTGACCCTCCTTTCTTTTTTTTTTTTTCAAAAATGTTAGAGGTTTTAAATTTCAGAATGCTGAAGTGGGTAATGTAGACCCATGTTTAGAAAGTAAATGACCAAACAATCCAAAGATGGTTATAGTTTGACAATCCAGGCCCAGTGATCAGTCTATAGATGGGATTAGTGCTACATTAGAAAAACAGTGTCTTAAACTGGCCAGAAAGAAGGAAATTCTAGCTGCCATATTTAAAGTCTATAGCTTCTAAAACGCCATTTATAGGAGTGTTTAAGCAAATGTTATTTAATTAAAAATAAATAAATTACTTAATTAGATTTCCCAGTAAGTAAAAAGTTTCATTAGTCATTAAAAGCAAAGAATAGCAATATGTATATATTATATGTATTTGTATGATCACATATTACTTAGTTTGTGATCAAAGTAATGATGCTCTTCTGTGCTATCAGTTTCTTAGATATCCCTTATTAAATTTTTATGGCGTATATTCTAGTATACATAAATAATCAGCAATAAATATATGTATAAACCCAATTTTATCAGAATCTGACCTTATTTATAATACATCCTGCTGTCAAAAAATGATCTTTTCTGAGAAACAGCATTGTGTACTGAAAACCCAAGATATAGAGAAAATAATAAGGGTTTAGGAATCCATTCCCCTCCACTATAACATCAAGCCTGGCATGGCTTTGCTATGACTTCAAGCTAGTAACTTAAATATGTTGATCCTTATTTTTCTCTTTTCTGAGAGATATGTATGGCAGGACCCATAGCCAACATAAAATAATTTACCATGTTTAATTTCAAGTTTCATATTAAAGTAATCACATATGAAACCTCTCATTTTTCAGGTAGAGTTCTAATTATTTGACATGTCTTAACGTGTCACTTACGTGGACATTTCTTAACACAGAATGCTCCGTACGTGTACTTTGCATTAAAGTTGTGTTCCAGTTGAAAGGTTGTTGGATTGTAGACAAATGTTTGGGGACACTGAGTAACACAGGCTCCACTGTCATTGAAGTTCATGCAGGCCTGCAACACATCAGATACATTTGTAAACAGCCTTCCTACATACTTGTCAATAAAACACTGCCATCATGGTTTTGTGACAGGTACTGTTTTATTTATTATATTTCATTTTTAAAAATCCTGCCCTAACTGATAAATTGAAGTCATTGTATCTTTAACTTTTCATCAGCCTCTCACCCTCTTTTATGTCAATATATATTTCCAGCTGTATTACAGGTCTTCACTTACAGTAATATTCATGTGTATGTTCATACATATATGTATAGATACATGTATTCATATATGTATATGATGTATATTATGTATACATATACAAACACCAATACACATATATTATGTAATACATTGTTTTACACTAAGAATTGATTTATTATATAAACATAGAGAGATGCAACAGATTATTTGAATTTATAGTGATTTAAATCATGTAAGTTCAATCTTTACAGGGAGTTTATGTGTCCAGTTCTGTAGGTAAGGATTTTATTTTGAAGAGGGTGTTTGGTGAGCTTTTGCATTGTGTGAAGTGTAAAATACAAGTTTCATCAATCTCCAATAAGAAACATATCAATAGTCATTTATTTACCTGTACACAGGAGCAGCCAGAGCATGAGACTGACCAAGTGTAATGGTTTATAAAAGTAAAATGTGAAGAGGTGGTAAGCTATAATTAGCCTGTGCTTAAATCAAATGATGCCACAGTTTTTGATGGTGCATCATTTACTATGCCCACTGTGTTCAAAAGGCATCTCTGTTTTGCTAACATGCATTTGTCTTCAGAAGTCTTCATCATTGATATTCTCAAACTCTCTTGAGAAGAAAACTATTTTTCATCCTGAGCATTGGATTTTTTTATGTCAAATGAAGCACATATAAGCATTTGACTAACAAACATAGGGACAACCTAACTATTTTAATTAAGAAATAAAGCTTTCTTATGAGTAATTGAGAGCTTGCAAAAAAGCTACCATGATCCAAAGCTGTGTTTTATACTTCATTAAAAATTGTCATGTGGTTATTAATAAGAATTTATTCTGTTTCCTCACAAAATTTGCTTCATCAATTGTTGCTTTAGCAAACACTTTATCACAACATGACAATTCTCTGATGATGGTCTACAAGGTGTATAATCAAAACAAGATCCACTGATGGTACAATATTTACAAAGATGACATTTCATAGGAAGACTCTGCTAAAAAGCAATCTAGAAAACAGTAAGTTTTAATTTATAAGTGCAAGACATCATGTGCTTTTATATCTGAATTACTAACACACTTTATGCATTGATATGCACTGCACATAGACTGCTTTGGAATAAGGGGATACAAGCCAGAGGAATTTACTTCCAGTTAGCACACAAGCACGATATAACTTACACCAAAGCCTCAGTCTGGCATTCATGAACATTCTGTATTAAATGCCAAAGTAGAATCACTGGACCATTCCAATATAGTAATGAAACGAGAGCTCTCAAGAACACCTGGTACTGCTTATCACAATAATACAAGTGAAAGGGCACGGAGCCACATCCTACAGGGAGAGGCTTTTCTACTGTTTACCACCACTCTGGCTTTGGAACCATTAATGCAACACCTGCAGTGTGCAGTGCCTTCAAAATCAAGCTTAGTTCTCTCCTCTCTATGCCGATGGCAGACAAGAAAGGATCCTCAGTTTGGCTGCCAAGGCTCTTCCTTAGATACTTAACATGTGTCCCCTCTCTATTCTTTGTTTGAATCTACTTTAACCAGATGTAGTTTCATTTCACCAAAGAATCATATCAGATAGATTAATTCTCTTAGAATTTTTAAGACTCAAGCAACAACTAGGTAGAGCACTAGTGCTCTGTCTATTATTTTATTTGATAAAGTCTCAGTTCTTAAAAATTTCAATCTTAATATGTGTTTGGTAGAACAAAATAAATTTCTGATTTTTTTAGATGTTTTAGATATAGAAATATTAGATTATTCTCATGCTCAAAGATAAAAGTGCATTGTCTATCAATTTAGATGAAATTAAAATAGAATTCTGATTTATGAACGTGATAACACTGTCACTCATAAAATTGCATATACATTAAAGGAGCAACAATTTATACCAAAAATATAATATAAAATGTAATAAAAAATTCCAATGAAGCTATGAACGTTATTTGAAATACAAATAACCTCTTCAAAATTATAAAACATTCATACTATCACATAAATAGATTTGAATGTGCATTTCTTAATTTTAAATATAGAATAATATTAATTTGCTAACACTGCAAACTGAAAAATATTTAAATGCATAGATTTTCTGAAATAACCTTGGAATTGATGTTCAAGAGTAAGCTTTCTTCACTCATGGAACTCAATACTGCTACAGCACAAAGCAGTAAGTAAAGAAGGTAGAAAAATGGTATTCTCAATTTCTAAAAGCATATTCTCATTCATGCTTTCCAATACAGCCACTTCACACATAAATTATATCAGAAATGCAGGGCTGATTAAACTGGCACAAAGTAATTCTGCTTAATCAATAGACAACTTCAGTGGTAGAATGCCTCCTAGAATGATATAGCACTTTTTGAAATAATAAATGAACAAGACTTAATCTTAATATAATCAAGTGTTAAATAGTCAATGTGAGTCTGAGAGAGAGAGAGAGAGAGAGAGAGAGAGAGAGAGAGAGAGAGAGAGATCCTAAACATACAAAGCAGTCAGTGTCCTTTGGTCCTGAGCAGCCTCCTGCACATTCTCGATGACAGCAGTCACTAACGTAGGGTCCATAGCACCTGCCATCACATTGTTCAGCACACACAGTCCTGGTCACTGTAGAAGACAGAGATGGGGCCTTAATTAAAGCCATCCATTGACAAAACTAAATTTGCAATAACAACACATGTTCTGGGATAACATTTCATTCCAACTAGTATTGACTAATTCAGAACACATTTAATGAATTAAGTCTGTAATTATCATTGCATGCATTTACTAGGTTCAAGAATAATTGAATGAGCAGTGAAGTGGCTAAAGCAGTACTTTCTTTGCGAGAAAGTGCCCTCAAATACTCAACAGAAATAGATAAATATACTTTTATTTGATTTACATACTTCACAGAAAAGCCTGGAAAGTAACAAAAACAGGAAGAGAAGGAAGGGAAGGGATGAAAGAGAGAGGAAGGAAGGCAGGGAGAGAGGGAGGGAAGGAAGGAGGGAGGAAGAAGGGAAGGAAGAAAGTAAGGAACGAAAAATGAAAACATATCTATATTTCCCACTGGTCTTTTCTTACTCATGAATCCAATTCACGGCATCAAATTATTATATAATTTATTAACAGGAGCACACAGATTGGGTATTAAAATTATAGCATGGGGAGACAGAACTCTGCTCATTTCAGTTCAACACTTATTTTAATTCAATAATTTTAATTTTTACAGAGATATAATTTCTAAGTATTTTCTTGGTGTGAATATTACAATGTATATATCACTCTATGAGTTCTTATTTACACTTCTGCTTCATTTCTTTTATGCTTTGTTTTTGAGCTAATAAATGTTTCTTGAGCTAAGTGGGTTAAACACCACTTCTGCCACAGACTATATTCACTTCATCACAACTAATGAAATGTTATCTAACCAGTTGCTCATCTAGAAACTGAACTTGGATTTTCCATTTCTCCTTTCCCCACCACTTCTGATAACAGAGAAAATCACCAATATCAATTCTATTTCATTGATTTTTTAAAATTACTTCTCTATCTCTAAGCTAGTTTGTGCATGTAATATGTAACACCATTTAACAAACTTTGTATTTATCTTTTATATTTCTTGGTTTGTAGTCAAGTCCAAATTTTATAATTGGACAAATTTTATAATTTTTGTAATTGACAATCATATACTTTTAAATTTTTATAAAATATATGCATGCATATAATACATACCATAAATATAAGTTATCTAATTAGTCATAGCTTCTAAATCTGATTATCATATACTAGGTTCATAGTATTCTTAGTAAAAATTAACTAAATCCTACATTTACTTATATGCACAAATTTGTAAATCATAGTATATAATGCAAAATATTTTCCTACATAGTTTTATAAAGTGTATCCAAACATATATTTCCACCCATAGATAGAATTAAGCTCTTGCAGTGGACTGAAAATAACTAATTAAGATAGAAGACATGTTACATATGCTAAATAAACAAATTACTACACTTCACATAAGTGTAGTGAAAGGGCATCCCATTACTTTGTTTCTAGCTAACAAACATTGCTCAGCTTGAAATCAGCAAACTAGAGCTCAGAGCAAATATAAGCAACACTATATTTAATTGATGCTATAAGCAACACAATAATTAATTCCAGACACATAAATCCATAGGTTAATTTTTATTTGTAACTGTCTTGATTCATGATATTATACAAAATGTTTCAGTTTCTTTTTATTTAATTTTGCCTTCCCTGCCAATTGGAAATAAATGTAGGAAACATTAAATCTGTAAGATTACCAACTTATAATCTATCTAAACGTTATTTATTAAATATTAATTTAAAACTTTACTCTCACTGAATAAAGTATTTATACATGAAAATAACCCTTGAAAATTTGTAAACTTTATAACAATTATTATTCTATGAAACTGTTAAGCATATGTTTTAAACTATTTCCTTATCTACAATAAAAAAGGTTTAAATTTTTTAAGTCACAATATCTGTCATCAAATGGTCAAATATCTCATGTTTCTAGGGCACTTAGGACTTCTAATAGTTCATTCCATCTTAGTGGAATTTAAAGAAACATTCTTCTAAGTCTTTATGCAAAAACAAATCCTTAAAAAAATCTGCTTCTGCATAGGGGAATCTTCCAGGAACTTCTGGACCTGCACAGGACCATTGGAAACAAACCATTGAGCTCTACATTTAAAATTCATTCAGAGATACTTATCAAGTGTTAAGAAATGGAACTAGGGACCAATATAGAACCAAGGCAAGAGGAATTCTGCAATGTACAGGCATCACAGATCCATGCTCATCTCTGCTTCAGGGTATTTTCTATCTACTAGAGGAAGATGCATAAACAGGGTGTTTACTCTAAACTGAAGGATATACTCTTTTTATCTAGATAGTTGAGGAGTTAAAGAAAATATTACAGTCCAAGAAGGAAGTAACTGGCACAACTGTACAGATGAACCAGGAAAAGGAAAAGGATATTGAAGTGAAATGTTTGGAAGCTGAAGCTGCTCAGGCTACAGCAAAGATGCTGGAGGAAACACAAAGAAAATGAGCAGTTGATGAAAGAGAAAGGCAAAAGTTACCAGAAGCAAGTGAAACAGATGACTGAGAAGATGGAGAAGGAATAAGCCCAGATAAAAGAAGAGCAACAGAAGAGCATTGAATACAAACATCAGGATCAGCCCTACTGAATGAGGGATGCCAGCAGGAGAGCAAAAGGCTTCAAGATGAGGAAAATGACTCTCCACAAACAGAAACAAAGCATGCATGCTTTAGAAGTTAAGGGCTGAAAATAAAAAGTACTATCCTCTGTTCATAGTCAAATCAGAGCTGAACAGGTTTTAGAATTTGAAATGCGTGACTCCTATATCACATGAGAAAATTAAAAGTCTACAAAGGTGTGCAGCACCATCACTGATATGTTTATTTTTCTATAAGATGCCATAGATGTCCTCACTATAGGAAATGTCTCAACAGCATTGCTAAGTTGTTTTTCTAGATGATTTCCAGGAGACAAGCAGACACTGGGCACATCCTAAGTGTTGACACATAAATAGGAGCCAGGTTTCTCAAATGCATGATGGGTCTGAAAGACAGCCTCATTTCCTACTGGAGACAACTTAAAGTTCTCACTTATATCAAAACTGCTCAACCTCTCCACAACTGATTAGTGGACGCTGATGAAGGGCCACCCTATTAACACACTCCAATACAAATCAAGATGCAGATTTGGATGTCTAGATAGAAGGATTTGGAAATAGAGAGGGAAGAAGGAGCCATTAGTGTGACAAAGAGTAAGAAGCTGGATCACAACCAAATGCTTGAGGAAGAAACTGTTTCAGTTCTTGTATACTGAAACTGCAAGGAGACATTTCTAAGCTGTAACAGTTGTCATCCGATTACACAGTAGCATGATGATAATTAAGGGTAATGTAAAGCAGTTGGTAACTGGACTTTAAATGATGATAAAATTATCTGTTAGAAATCTAAAGCACTTTAACGATTTATCTCTAACTTTAAACTCATTCTACTCTTTCCCTATTACTAGCAGCTGTACTTGAAATACTATTGATTTTCTCCAATAAGAATGAAATTGTTTTCACATTCAAAATAATAATGATGATGAGTTAATGAATGTTTCTAAAAGAATGAAAAACACTATTCTACATCTGATATTTATGTAAATTATCTTCAACATGAAAAATAACACTTTTTGTTATCAAGAGTTTCATGTTCTCTCACTACCAACAAAAATTTAGTGAGCACAAACCATATTCCACTAGCTTTTGTGCTTGTCTGATAAAGAAAAAAACAACAAAGAACAAATGTAACAAATAAATTTTCTAAACAGACAGGTTTCAGAGACTATTCTTCCCATTATTTCCTGCGGCTTGTTTTTAGGGAGAAAGCATTATTTTGGTCATGTGAAAGCTGATAAGGATGGGATGAAGACCAGTATATAATATGTTTATTTAATGGTGTTTGTTGATTTTTCAGTACTAGTTACTTAATATTGATAACATGTCAAACCATACTTATGACTGTAATGATGTAGACACGCAAAATAATCAGAAACAGAAATCAATAACTCAGCCTCATTAATACTTTAAACTGTTATTGTTTTAACTTTGTTCATTTCTACCTTTATTCATATATTTCCTTAGATTTCCCTCCTATATTTAGTATGTTCTCTGAGTTGCTTCACTGAATCCACTAAAATACATTGGAGGAGATGTAACTAGCTCTTGTAGTGTTGGCAAGCCATTAAATGCAAATAAAATAGTGGGTAAAATCTTGGCAGTTAAATTACTTTTCATATGAATCATAGTAACTAGAACCTTAGAATGGAGAGTCATTCAAGAACACATGGAATCAGATATGCAAATATGGTTGACAGGGAAACTATTAAGAGAAAACTACTTCAAGCAGTTACTGTATCTGTTAGCAGATGTATTGTAGCATTATCTCCCTCAATAAAAACAGAATTTGAATTACTGTTCTAAATATATTACTAACCATAATTATGATCCAATTGTTACCTTAGAATAAGTTTACTTTATTTCAAAGTGACAGTCAGTTTACAGATCAAATATTTACCATTGTGCTCCCTCAGGACCAGCAAAAATCATTAAAATGGCAAGAGAAAAATATGTTTATAACATAAGAAAATTATGGATAAATTTGTGTAGCATTTTTAAAAAAAATTCCCACTATATTTCATATGACACTTCTCTCTCCTCCTGTTCTTCTTTATTTATATCTCTCTCTTTTCCCTTTCTTCACTGCCTTCAAATTGCCTTTAATTTTTACACGTAATGGATAAAATTACATGGAATGGAATAAAGATAGTCTACCAGAAATTTGAAATTGAACATAGCAATTATTGTGTCAGTAAAAATTTTGATTCTGTTACTTTCAGTGTATTACAATGTTCATTTTTCACAGGCTTGCAACTAATGTTGCTGTCTATTGGTCCATAACTTTACTTTTATAGGAGAATATATAGTATTGAAAGTGTATGTGTAATGTCTGTTAATCATCTAATTCATTTAATCACATATATGTGATTAAAATGACTGACAATGCTCTAG